ACTTAGCCGACCAATGTAAAGCCATGCCCACCGATCTTATGCCCCGCCCCTTCTGCTGAGCCCCGCCCAGAGGCCCAGGTTGGTCGGGCGGCCTTGCCTGTCCCTGGCCCCGTGAGTCCTGTGCTCTGGGTTGGAGGTGATGGGGGGGGGCGTCCTTGCCGTGACCTTGCAGGCAGGGTGTCCCATCTGCAAAGCAGGCGCCCTGAAAGCAGGGCGTGCATCCCCCCTTTTGTGCTGGGGGCCAGCCAGGCTGGCAGCAGCCACTGCGGGTTATTTTTAGAGAACCTCACCGCCCGGCCTCCTGGCCAAGCCCAGGCCTGCCTGTCTGGGTGGCTGCCCGGGGTCACCGGCCTGCCCGGCCCGGGGCCTCCCTCCACCGGGCCCCACCCCTGCCCACCTGCCCGCTCGGCCCGGCGGGCCTGTCAGGGTGGCCGGCCGGGGGCTGACTCAGCGCCCCGCATGGCCTGGTCCACGGCACCCGCCTCCTCCAGGCTGAGGCACGGCTGAGTCAGGGCAGCTGGTGACACCAGCGCAGCGGGACAGCAGGAGGTGGCAACACCGGGGCCCTGAGTGTGAGTCACACCGTGCCGTGAGCACACACACATGCCAGGCACACGTGTGCACAGAGACAGGCTTGCACACATGGTGCCTACGTGATACAGCACACCGTGCACACACAATGCTGCCCACGGGTGTGCACACATGCAGAGGTACACATGTGTACAGGCACACAGATCCGTCCGTGTGTGTGTGTGTGTGTGTGTGTGTGTGTGTGTGTGTGTTTGCACCACTCCTGGGGCTTGAACTCAGGGCCTCGGTGCTGTCCCTGAGTTTTTTCACTCAAGACTTAGCACTCAACCACTTGAGCCACAGCTCCATTCCCAGCTTTTTTGCTAATTAATCAGAGATAAGAGTCTCAAGGACTTTCCTACCTGTGCTGGCTTTGAACTGAGATCTGTGGATCTCAGCCTCCTGAGCAGCTGGGATTAGAGGCTCCAGCAAGCAGTAGCCGCTGTGGTTTGTTTTTTTTAACACTTAAGGTCCTTGGCAACAGTGATCCAGAAACTCCACGTGTTCTTCTATGTGTGTATGTGGAAGGGTGTCCTCTCCCTATAGGGGTACTGCTGTGGGGGCCTCTGCACCCCACCAGACCTAACACAGCTGTGGGGTAGTGCACGTCTCCCTCTCCCCTTCATACAAATGCTGGTCTTTTGCTCCTCTCTGCCAACCAGGGACCGGCCCGTGCTGTGTCCCTGTCACCCTGCTGTGTGACATGCCTGGAATCCCACAGAAGCAATCAGGGCTGGCCGGCAAACCGCCCCCACCCCCTTATCATTCCAGGGAGATTTGTACATACCAGTTTATGAGTAACTAGGAATTTCTTGAAAATCTAAATCTGCCTTTACTTGTCTACCTAGCTCCACTGACTGCAACACAGACACCGAGTCCTGCTTAAATACCTGGTGGAATGTCTGCTGCCTGGAACCAAGGACACCCCAGGACATTTGCACATATGCTCTCTAGACATGATACTGACACATAGCACCAACCTCCACTTTCAGGGGGTGCTAAATGGGGTGAGGGAGGGCAGCATCCCTGCCCCCCCCCTCCATGTTCCACACTGAGCTCTCCAGTTGTGCCAGCCAGACATAGCTCAGGGGCCCCTGGGGGACAGAGTTGCCCTTTGCTGAGATGTCTAAATAGAAATTCAATGAAAGAAGCCAGGTACCAATGGCTCACACCTGTCATCCTAGCTACCCAGGAGGCTGAGATCTGAGGATTGCAGTTCAAAGCCAGCCTGGGCAAGACAGTCTGTGAAGCTCTTATCTCCAATAAACCACCCAGAAAACTGGAAGTGGCACTGTGGCTGAAGTGGAAGAGCACTGGCTTTGAGCTGAAGAGCTGAGGGACAGCGCCCAGGCTCAGAGTTCAGGCCCCATGACTAAAAAAAAAAAAAATGCAATGAAAGAAGCCACGCCCCAGAAAAGGCTGAGCGCTGATAGCTCACACCCTCATCCTAGCTAGATCTCAGGAGGCTGAGATCTGAGGATTGTGGTTCAAAGCCAACCTCAGAAGGAAAGTCTTTGAGGCTCTTATCTCCAATGAACCACCAGTAAACCACAAATGTAGCTATGGCTCAAGTGATATAGCAAAAAATAAATAAATAAAAGCTAGCCTTGAGCAAAGAAGAGCTCAGAGACAGTGCCTAGGCCTGGAGTTCAAGCCCTGTGGCCAACCAAAAAAAATAATAATAAAGATTTAGAAAGCTAAACCAGAAAAATAAAAATCAACATTGCCTCTCTGTTTCTGATAGGCAGGTAAAATGGAAGAGTTAGCAGTTTCTAAAACAAAACTCTACACATGCATTTACTATACAAGCAGTAATTACCCTCCCTGGCACCTATCCCAGTCCACGGGAAAGTTTATGGCACCTTTTACTCAGATAGACTCAAACTAGAACTGGCTCAGAAGCCCTTCAGCAGGTGAATGTTTTAACCAACTCTGTACTCATCTGTACCATGGAATATTACACAGCAGTGAAAAGGAACAAAACACTGATACATGTGAGCGGGAGGAAGCCACTCCCAAAGGTTGCTCACCACATAGCTCCCTTTCCAAATAAGGGAAATGGAGCCTTTGGTGATGGTGTTTGAAGAGGTTACATTGAAGCAGGGCCAACCCTGTGCAGGGGCTGGGGCTCTTCTAAGAAGAGGAATTGGGGTTGCAGCTCAGCACCGCGCACTTGTCTAGTGTGCACACAGCCTGGATCCCCCCCCCCCACACACACACATCCAGGTTGGATTCCTGCGGTTTCCAGTTGCTCTGTGGTGGCCATTTGTTATGGCAGCCCCAGGACACAGAACCCCCCACTGTGTGGTCCCCTCCAATCCCCCCCGCCCCCCCCCCCCCGTGACCGCTGAGTCTTGGGGTCCTAGAGTTTCTGACACCAGTGCCCCCTGCTGCCTCTTCCCCAGCAGGAAGCGAGAGGGAGGGGTTGTCACAGAGTGGAAACCGAGGTCACAGCACCTGGCTGCCTTCCAGGACAGCCAATCTGCCCCACTCCCTCGGGGCTGACGGCCGCTGCTTCCCAGCGTGGGCCCCTGGGCACCGGGACACATGGAGATTTTAGATGAATTCTCAACATAGTTCTGGCACACGGGGTGAACAGCCACAATGCTCTGGGCAGGTTGGCGGAAGGGAGGAAGGGACAGAGTGGGCAGATTGATGGACAGACAGAAAGGTGAGTGGATGGATGAGTAGACAGAAGGATGGAAAGATAAGTGGGTAGGTGGGTGGATCAATATAAATCGATGGATGGATGATGTTCGATGGGTGGATCGACGGATGGATGGATGGATGGATGGACAAGTGGATAGACAGAGATGAGTAGATGGATGGATGGTGGATGTGTGGATGGATGGATGGACAAGTGGATGGATGATGGATGGATGGATGGATGGATGAGATAGGTGGATGTGTGGATGTGTGGATGGATGGATGGATGGATGATGGATGGATGAGATAGGTGGATGGATGATGGTAGATAGGTGGATGTGTAGATGGATGGATGGACAAGTGGATGGATGATGATGGGTAGATGGGTAGATGGATGGATGATGTGGATGGATAGATGGATGGTGGATGTGTGGATGGATGGATGATGGATGGATGGATGGATGGATAGAGATGGGTGGATGGATGATGGATTGATGGATGGATGGATGGACAAGTGGATGGATGATGATGGGTGGATGGGTAGATGGATGGATGGATGGATGGATGGGTGGATGGGTGGATGGATGATGATGGATGGATGGATGGATGGATGGACAAGTGGATGGATGGTGATGGGTAGATGGGTAGATGGATGGATGGATGATGTGGATGGATAGATGGATGGTGGATGTGTGGATGGATGGATAGATGGATGGATGGATGGATGGAGATGGGTGGATGGATGATGTGGATGGGTAGATGGATGGATGGTAGATGTGTGGATGGATGGATGGATGGATGGATGGAGATGGGTGGATGGATGATGTGGATGGGTAGATGGATGGATGGGTGGATGGATGATGATGGATGGATGGATGGATGGATGGACAAGTGGATGGATGGTGATGGGTAGATGGGTAGATGGATGGATGGATGATGTGGATGGATAGATGGATGGTGGATGTGTGGATGGATGGATAGATGGATGGATGGATGGATGGATGGAGATGGGTGGATGGATGATGTGGATGGGTAGATGGATGGATGGTAGATGTGTGGATGGATGGATGGATGGATGGATGGAGATGGGTGGATGGATGATGTGGATGGGTAGATGGATGGATGGATGGAGATGGGTGGATGGATGATGTGGATGGGTAGATGGATGGATGGTGGATGTGTGGATGGATGGATGGATGGAGATGGGTAGATGGATGATGTGGATGGGTAGATGGATGGATGGTGGATGTGTGGATGGATGGATAAATGAATACACAGATGAGTAGATGAATAAAGGAGTGAGTGAGTACCGCAGACCCGCACCCCCAGAGCAGACGACATACACACTCTCCAGTGAGTCACCCCCATCCACAGGCAGCGACTGTCTCCCAGAGGTGCCTCCTCTCCAGGGAACACTGGGTCACGTCTGGGGACACGTGTGGCTGGCACGACTGGGCAGCTCCTGGCATGGGGTGGTGGAGATGAGGGACATGGCTCAGCCCCTGCAGGGCCCAGGGTGCCCGCAGAGAACCCCGCCCGGCGTCCCCAGTACCCCGACCTTCCGAGCCGTCGCCCCTGGGCAGCAAGTGCTGAGCCCTGACCAGTTCCAGGCAGGGAATGCGGGAGACAGTCACCCAGTCCTGTCCACAGCGGGGCCTGTGGGGCGGGGGGTGGGGCCTTCCTGGAAGGGGTGTCTGTCCCAAGGTGTCGCCAGCCAGCTCACATCTGTGTGCCCCTTCCCCCCCAGCTCTCTGGACGCCGGGGCCCACACTGATGGCAGAACAATGTCAGCCACTAACAACGTAGCGCAGGCCCGAAAGCTGGTGGAGCAACTCCGCATCGAAGCCGGGATGGAACGCATCAAGGTGAGCCTGCGCACAGGGAGTGGACCCCGGGCCCCAGGCCACCAAGGCCCTGAGCAGGCTGTGGGCACCAGGGCCTCCCTGTGGGGCCTTGTGCTACCCCTGAACCTCCCTGAGCCCCAGTACTCAGCAGAGCAGGCAGAAGGAGCCAGAGATAGAGATGGAGCGGAGCCCCGCCCTATTCCTTCCTTCCTTCCTTCCTTCTTTCCTTCCTTCCTTCCTTCCTTTTTTCCTTCCTTCCTTCCTTCCTGTCTTTATTGATTGATTGATTTTTTTTCTTTCTTTTTTTTTTTTAACTGGTCATGAGGCCTGAACTCTGGGCGTGGGCGCTGTCCCTCAGCTCTTCAGCTCAAGGCTAGCGCTCTACCACTGGAGCCACAGCGCCACTTCCGCCTTTTTCTGCTTATGTGGTGCTGAGGGATCGAACCCAGGGCTTCATGCATGCAAGGCAAGCACTCTACCACTGAGCCACCTTCCCAACCCCTGATTGATTGATTTCTGAAGCTTGAACTTAGGACCTCAAATTTGTTAGGCAAGCATTCTGCCACTGAAGCTACACCTCTAATGCTTAGGCTGCACCCCTAGTTCTAAGCCATGCCTGTGTGTGTGTGTGTGTGTGTGTGTGTGTGTGTGTGTGTGCGTGTGTGTATGCATGCGTGCACGTGTGTGCTGGTCCTAGGGCTTGAACTCAGGGCCTGGGCGCTGTCCCTGAGCTTTTTCACTCAAGGCTGGTGCTCTACCACTAGAGCCACAGTGCCACTTCCAGCTATTTGGAGATAAGAATCTATGGGCTTTTCCTGCCTGGGCTGGCTTCGAACCTCAATCCTCAGATCTCAGCCTCCTGAGTAGCTGCGATAGCAGGCCGAGCCACCAGCGCTGGGCTTGTGCTGGGTATTTTTGAGTTTCGCTTCCTGCCCGCACATGTACCTGGACAGTGATCCTCCTGTTTTTAGCTTCCTGCCATAGCTGGGGTGACAAGCATGTGTCACTACACCCAGCCTCTCCCATTGAGATGGAGTCTGGCAGCCGGTCGTGCCTGGGCTGACCCGGAGCCTCCTATGAACACCCAGAGCTCAGTCTCCTCCATAGCTCCGAGCGAGCGGGAGCAGGTATGCGCCTGGGACCCCGCCTTCCTTCCTGTCACCTCTGACCCCTGGTTTGCACAACTCTAGCAGTGACAGACAGTCCCAGTAAAGGAAGTCATGACTTGTGTCTACATTTTCCACTTCTGCATACAGTGGTGCGTGGACGCTGTGTGCGTGTGCGTGTGTGTGTGTGTGTGTGTGTGTGTAGAGAAGAGAGAGAGGTTTATTTTAAGAGTTGGCCCCTATGGGTGTGCCGGCTGGTGAGTGTGAAATTTGCTGGCCAGGCGGGCAGACTGGGGACACAGGGAAGGCTGGATGTTAGCCTCTGCCTGGAGACAGCATTCTGTTGTGGAGGCCCGTGGGGGAGGGGAGATGTCTTACGTCACTTCCTTCAACTGATCGGACAAGGCCCACCCACATCAAAGGGTCAAACTTACTCAGAGTCTAGGGAGTCCTGTGACCATCACCTCAAAAAGTACCTTCCCAGCAACATCTAAAGTAGCAACACAACATGAGTCCTCAGGTCCTCCCAGCTAGAAGCACAGACAGACAGACAGACAGACAGACAGACATACCTGCTGGTGTGGGAGGAGGAGTCAGGAAAGGGATTGTTCTCAGCTGAGGGTCCCCATCCCCGCAGCGGGGGCGGGGCTCAAGGCGCCTCCCACGGGTCCCGGATTCCTGCAGCTGGGGACAGACCTGAGCGGGGCGCTCAAAGCATTCCTGGGGGCTGAAGACACGCAGGGCCTGGTTGAAGTGGTTTTCCCTCCGTGGGCCGGTGCCAGCGCTGTGCCAGCCGGGCCGGGAGAGCCGGCCTCCCGCTCATCAGGTCCTTTGAAGTTGGAGGAGCCCCAGGGGGGTTTGAATGTCTGCGGTGGGGAGTTGGGGCTCCACCCGGGGCCCTGCTGGCCCGAGGGGATTTTCTCTCAATGGAAGGGAGGAGAGATTGGGCCCCCCCCCATGCCGGAGCCAACCTGATTCCTCCAGGGCCTCCGTGGAGGGTAACAGCCTGCACACGGAAACCAAGAGTGGCTCTGGGGTCAGGGGTGCTCCCCCCCCAGATCAGCTTGGCAGGGTCCTGCAGCCCATCCTGGCGACTTGGGGAAGCACCAAAGGCCCAGGTTCTTGGGTCCCAGGGTGGGGAGCTGATGGGTGATGTTTTGTTGGTCATGGGGCTTGAACTCAGGGCCTGGGCGCTGTCCCTGAGCTTCTTTTGCTCAAGGCTAGCCCTCTATCACTTGAGCCACAGCACCACTTCTGGCTTTTTCTGTGTATGGGGTACTGAGAAATGGAACCCTGGGCGTCATGCATGCTAAACAAGCACTCTACCACTAAGCCACCTTCCCAGCCTGCTGGTCCTTCTTGTTAAAGCCTGGCAATGCTGCTGAAGGGTACACAGCCCATGTATAGGTGTGTGACTGTATCTATGTCCGTGTGTGTGTGTGTGTGTCTGTCTGTCTGTCTGTCTGTGTCTGTGTGTGCGCTGCTGGGTTTGGAACCCAGAGCCTCACACATGCTCAGTGGAGGTCACCACTGGCCACCCTTCCAGCCCTCACTGGCCGTATTTGGTCTGTTGCCAACATAGTGTAGCCAACCCCTCTGTTGACTTCCAATAGGGATTCCCCCCAGGAGGAGCCCAAGCCCCGTGAGCAGCACCCCATCTCCAGCTTCCCCTGTGGCGGGCGGGCGTTGCCTGCCAGTGGAGCTACACGCTGTGGGGCTCCCTTCACTGAGTGCGGTGGCCTCAGGGTCAGTATGTCAGAACCTCACCCTGTTCCTGGCTGAGTAATATTCCAGCATGGAGACAGACCACACTGTGGGTGTTCACACATCCACCTCTGCATTGGGGCCATTTCCACCTTGTGGCCTGGGTGGATTGCTCTGGTGTGGACACGCCCGGGCCGACCCCTTCTCAGCCCCCCCCCATCTGTCTACACACAGGTGTCCAAAGCCTCCTCTGAGCTGATGAGTTACTGCGAGCAGCATGCCAGGAGCGACCCCTTGCTGGTCGGCGTCCCCGCGTCTGAGAACCCCTTCAAGGACAAGAAGCCCTGCATCATCCTCTAGCTCTGTTCTGTGTGTGCTTGCCTCATCTCTCTCTCTCTCTCTCTCTCTCTCTCTCTCTCTCTCACAGTCTGAGACTCAAACTCAGTACCTGACACTTTGGCTCATTGGCTGGCACTCTACCAGCTGAGCCACGCCTCCAGCCCCCACCCCATTTCAATTCTTAATTCAAGAAAAACCATCCAAGTCCACAAAAAGGAGTTGGGGTGCTGGGTGAGATCCAAAAGCCCCCGCCCCGGAGTCCTCCTCCATGCTCAGAAGGGGCCGGGCTCTCTCACCCAGCACCCCAACTCCTCACCGCCTCCCCCAGCCCACCATGGCGGCCCGGCCAATGCACAAACCTCTCAATCACTGCTTGAATAACTGACTCAGAACCAAGAGAGGAAGGAGGCCCAGGCAGCCTCCGGCAGCTATCTGGAAATTAATTATTTGGGGAAAGTCTACATGGGGTGCTGGGATTTGTGTGTGTGCCAAAACTGGGGCTTGAACTCAGGACCTTATACTCTCACTTGGCTTTTTTTTTTTTTTCACTCAAGGCTGGCATTCTACTCCTTGAGCCACAACTCCATTTCTGGCTTTTTGCTGGTTCCTTGGAGATGAGAGTCACGGATTTTCCTGCCTGGGCTGGTTTTTGAACCACGATCTTCAGATCTCAGCCTCCTGAGTAGCTGGGATTACAGGCGTGAAGATCAGTGCCGGGACCTGGTTCTCTGTTGCTGGGTTTTGGTGTGGGTTTTTGGTTTTGTTGATCAGTGGGGTGTGGGCCCGCAATTGTATCCTGATGAAAATCAACACTTTGGGGCTGAATCTGCAGCCATACCAGCCCAGATAGAGCTGGGGGGTGAGACGGGGTGTGTGGGGGGGGTGTTAATGTATGAACTGCACCCTCTATGTCCTAGCACAGCCCATCTGGGTAGCGCTGACCACGCTACAGCTGCCTCCTTTCCCAGGGGACCCCATGTACCCCAGAGCTGCATACACCTCCTATCCCGGGGATCAGTGGCTACTGCAGGGCGGGGTGGGGAGAGGCGGGGTGTGTGTGGTTCTGTCTCCACCCGAGGTGGGCTGTGGCTCAGTTTCCCTGGCTGCCGGGATGGAGACACCCGTCCTCAGGCTGTGGCCTGGTGCTGGGTGGCGCTGCCCAGCCCCTTGGGGCAGGCCGAATTGCTAAATTATCTTGAGGTGATGGGAAAGGCCTGGTGGTGGCCCCGGTCTCTCGGCTGTACCCCATCTCTGGTCCGCCCTGATGACCCCCAGGTCAGCCGTGGATGTTTCTGATGGGGGCGGGGCGGGGTCTGTTTTCAGGGTGACCAGGTCCTCCGTGAGGACGGCCCCTGGGATGGAGGAAGCAACTGCAGGCACCCCCCCCCAGCCCGCCGGCGTCGCCTGCCGCCCCGCCTGAGCATCGGGGCGCCTGCGCCACCCTGGAATCAGAGCCCCCCAAGGCTTTGCTGGAAGCCGATGCTGGGGGTCCCTGGACGGCTGCCCGGCTGTGACCGGGCAGCACGTGGGGCCGGGCCCCCACGCATGTCTGGGAAGCTGGGGTGCGGGGAGGAGAGGCTGCAGGGGCTTGCCTGGCTCCAGGGGTGGGGGGCGCACATGGGGGCCTGGCCCCAGCGCAGCGGGGCTTTGTGGGCCCGGCTCATTTGGAACAGGAGAGCCTCAACATCTCTTCTCCCCCACCAAAAAAAAAAAAAGACTCTAGCCATCTGGTGTTTCCCTGGGTGCCAGCGGCCCTGGGTAACTGCCGCACCCTCCTCAACCCACCCGAAAGGCAGGGAATGGCCGAGAGGAATCAAAGAATGTTCTGGAAACCCAGGGCACTGCCTGGGGATGGGACTATGGGAGGAGGGATTTCTAGCAGCGCAGGCAGTGGGGCTGACCAGGCGCTGCCGGTTACACCCCAACGCCTCCCATTTGGAGAACCCCCCTCTAGTCCCTGTTTCTCTTTAAAAGAAGCCTTAACCCCTGCAGCGGCCCCCACCGCCTCCCTCCTCTCTCCCCTGCCACCCGAGCCCCTGGCCACCAGGCTTCCCAGGGGACAGCAGCCCAGCTGCCGCCTGTCGCCTTCCCTGCCAGGGATGTGCCCAGCCCGGCCCCCAGGGAACACCCCGGCCAGACCCCGGCGCCCAGAACCCCAAGGGAAAGGGGGGCGGCCTGAGCTCACGTCAGCCGAATGACAGTGTGCGCTCTGTATCCCCCAAGTCACACCCTCCTGTCCCCCAGAGAGGACCCCCACACCACAGCGGCTCAGGGGCCCTGAGCTCCTCCGTGGAGCATCCCTGAGCACGATTTGTCCACACCCCTCCCGGTGCCAGCCTGGCCCCCACGTAGCCCGGGACCCCGGGGGGGGGGGGGGGACAGCGAGCAGGCACCTCAGGCTCTTTGGCCTAGCGAACCACAGGACCCCGCTCGTGCTCAACATCGTCCTGCGTGGAAGCATTCCCGTGCCCCCCCACCCCGTTCCCATTGCTCCAGCCTGGAAGCTTTGGGGGACACACCAGTATGCCTCCCCTGCTCTCTCCCACACCCCGTATCAGGGGAAATCAGACTTCAGGCCGCCCACCTGCACTCCAAACCAAGGTGGGTGGCAAGACACACGGGGTGAACCCCTGCTTCAGCACCGCCCCCAGAAGCCCTGCCACCCATGGGGTGACAGCCACATCCCCCCTCCCCCCCCCCCCCCCCCCCCCCCCCCCCGTCCTTTCCTTCCCCTACTTTACGGGGAGAGTAAGGACAGACTCCACCCCCTGGCGCCTATGGATGACATCACTCCGTCCGCTGCCGAGGCTTCTGGGCGCAGTGGGCAGACGCGCTGTCACCTGTCACCGCCATGTTCTTCCTGGCACTGGGCCCAGGCAGCGGCCACCATCACAGCCCCGGGACATGAGAAAGCGCCGGACGCCGGGCCCTGGCTGCTGGGACAGGCCCCCCGCCCCCTCCCCCGGCCCCCCTTCTTTTGTAAAATTGTGGAAAGCCACCTTGGGGGCCTCTGAGACAGACGCCACGTGCCCACGCCACCGCCACCCCAGGACAGACACACGTTGCCAGACAGCACCGACATCCTCTTTCCCCAGTTCCAGCCGCCAGCTGCTTCCGGCAGCTTCTCTCCCTTTGGGGTGTCGGGGTGTCTGGTGATTTTTGTTTCTGATTGCTTTTTTTTTTTAATTTTAAACTTCACTTTCTCACAGTGTTTTACTATTGTGTGGGGTTATTGTTACTAAAAAGTGAATTCATACACAATAAAAGGCTCTGTTGTCCTTTCTCTGTGGCTGTGGGTTCCTCCTCCTCTCCAGGGCCCACACTGGCTGGGGGAGCGCAGTTGTCTTCTCCCCCAAAACCCAGGAAAGGCTTTCCAGATCCCACACATGAAGCGGGGACTTGCAGGTCTCAGAGAAGCGGCCGAGGCCTTTGGTTGATCGTTCTGGGTCTGGGAGGGCGTTTTTTTTCTTTCTTTCCAGTCCTGGGGTTTGAACTCAGGGCCTGGGCTGCTGTCGTTGAGCTCTTTTGCTCAAGGCTAGTGAGCCACAGCGCCACTTCCGGTTTTCTGGTGGTTCCTTGGAGCTAAGAGTCTCACGGGCTTTCCTGCTCAGGCTGGCTTTGAGCCACGATCTTCTGATCTCAGCCTCCTCAGACAATTTGAAAGCTTTAGAACTTCTCTATGCCTGCACAAAAAGAAAAGAAAAGAACACCCACACCATTGAAGAAACTAAACATGGAAGTTGATTCTTACCTAAAACATCCAGAGACAGGAAGTAGAGGAGAGTTGGTGCTGAATGGGGGCAGAGCTTCAGTTTGGAAGATGGGAATGCGGCTTAGTGGTAGAGTGCTCCCCGAGCATGCATGAAGCCCTGGGTTTCAGTACCATACACACAGAAAAAGCCAGAAGTGGCGCTGTGGCTCAAGCGGTAGAAGCTCAGGACAGTGCCCAGGACCTGAGTTCAAGCCCAGGACTGGCATTTTAAAAAAAAGGAAGATGGAAGGTTCTGGAAGTGGAGGTTGGGGAATGTGATGTGCTCAAGGCCACTGCGCTAAACAATGAACATGGTTTGTTTCTGTTGTGCATGTTTTTCCATTAAAAAAACAACCCCCGCCTACGTGACTAAAATTAACCCAGGCGGGTCGGGTGAGGTTGTGGGGCAATGGGACAGGCTGGGAGAACCAACGACAAACAGGCTCTTTGGAAAAAGATCCGGCAGTTAGTTTCCTATCCCATTTGGCACCCACCTATTCCATGACCCAGTAAACAAAAGACACCTGCCGCGGCCGGGGTGGGGGGAGGGGGGCAACTTGGAAGGAAGCTGGGCGTGGTAGTGTGCACCTGTAATCCCAGCCCTTGGAGAGAGGCAGAGGTAGGTGGATCATGCAGCCCCATCCAGCCTGGATGACATAATCAGAGTCTTATCTTGAAACAAACCAAAAGATCTTGGAGGAAATGTTTCCAAGCTTTGTTCCTGAAAGGTGAAAATCTGGACCTTTTTCAGCGGTTGAGCCGCAGGTGTGTGGAGAGAGAAATCAGGACTCCTGTGAGCCACCCAATAACAAAATGGAAAACGGTAGAACCCATCAATACGTTACCTCTCATGGGTGAGAATGAAATTTCAGGTGGGAGCCAGTGCTGGTGGCTCACGCCTGTCATCCTAGCTACTCAGGAGGCTGAGATCTGAGGATCACGGTTCAAAGCCAGCCAGGGTAGGAAAGTTCTTGGGATTCTTATCTCCAATTAATCACAGAGGGGAGAAAAAAAGAAAAGAAAAGAAAATTAAAGGACAGGTTCTGGGGCTTGAACTCAGGGCCTGGGCGCTGTCCCTCAGCTCTTCTGCTCAAAGTGAGCGCTCTACCCCAGAGCTACAGCGCTACTTCCGGTTTTCTGGTGGTTTATTGGAGATAAGAGTCTCACCGACTTTCCTGCCCGGGCTGGCTTCAAACCACCATCCTCAAATCTCAGCCTCCTGAGTAGCTAGAATGACAGGCGTGAGCCACCAGTGCCTGGTGCAGAATTT